ATATATATACACTCATTATGAAACCGAGCAAATAATAATAATAATTTCAGTATTGTATGTAATGTTTAAAAATACTTATTATCCAAACATTACATAAACCTATTCTAACCCTAACTTGTAAGTACAGTATAATGTATAAGAATTAATTAGATAGTGGACAGGTATGTGTTAAGCACCATATTTAGGTCATACATGGGCAATAAAACTAAACTCATATTTTGCTACATAATTTAAATAAATGCCAACCCTTTGCTGACTAACCTATTAAAATACTGCACATGAATTTTAAGAGGTCTATAACAAATCACTACAATTAAAAGGACAGGTATGTCACCCATACATACCGGGCGGCGTTCTTCAACAGCTCCGGCAGTATATAGTCTAACGGCGTCTGTATGTATGGGAACTGGACGTTCACGTGTCCATTGATCTTGAAGGGTGGCGATCGGCCGTAGTGGTGGTCGGATATGTTGCTCACGTAGTCGCACCAGTTCTCCACCACATCCCGGGGCCGCATCGTTACGTTAATAATGCCCACTAAGTTGGCCCTCTCGTCGGTGTCCTCGGCCTCCGAGGCCAGGGCTAAGTGGTGTTCGCAGAGCATACGGATCCCCAACCGGGAGGTGAGGGTCTGGTCGAGGAACTGGCGAACTAAGTCCTCGTTCTGACACAAAGGGAACGGTAGTTAGCATTAGATATGTGACAAATTTGATGTAAAATAGGCGTTTTCCAGCAGTAATACCTGGATATGTTTACGGCATTCCCGGAAACCCTCGGCCAGTTGTGTCACCACATTCTTATGGGTGTCCAACAGCTGTCGCAATAGATTTGAATAACCCTTTTCCGACTCCATGTCCGTTATCTGTGTATAAAGTTTTTCACAGCAATTAATTACATGTAAAAACAATAAACAATTATTTGATATGAATATACCGGTGGGTACTCAGAGAGCATATAAAAGGCCCGGATATACATCTCGTGGACGGCCAGTATCGTGGGATTACAGCCCACGAGGAATGGTAGGGCTCGGAAGCCGGCGATACGGTGAGCGATACGGACGGGTAGCTCCTTTTGCAGGTATATGGCGCTTCTCTATATAAAAATACGATTAAAATCAATTTTATAATTAAATTATAGCATGGTGTTCCTTATGAAAACCCCTTATACCCATCACATACACCCCTTTCCATGTTTAAAATTTTGAATGTTATACTGTACTGGCTATCAGTATATTAGTAATTCATATCCTGTTTATATGCGATAATTTTAATTTAAAAATATATAAAATTGTTTTTGTAAATAATTAACTATCGATTAACATTTTCATAGTTATCACTAGTATTTTTCACTTGAAACAAAAACAAACATTTCCTTGATTACAAAATCATTATTTTATTAATTAATTAATTAAAAATCTAATAAAAATAAAATGTTATTAACTACAAATCCTAATTAAATAAAATAAAAAAATTTGTTTACATTGTGCAATAAATTATTACTAATAACTAAAATATTGTATAATATACTGATTATTAATTGTTTATTTAATTGTACATTGTAGAGCAAATTGTATTATCTATAAACGTAGTACTTTTACTGTACCCTGTTTATTAATTAAACTACAGTAGTATAATATTCCTATTACTGTATAAACACTATACATACCAATAGGTGACTGCCATCAGGACTTTTACCCGAGTATAGTATAGTTGCCGGCGTTAATCGCACCGATGGCTAAAAATAGACCAATACTTGCATTATAAATACTAATCAAACAAATTAATCAATTGATTGTGAAATAGATTTTTTGGCTGTTAATCAATAGAAACTATAGACTATGGATTGACATAAAATTATATGATATCTAATCTCATTTATATAATACAGGCGCTCGCACACACACATAATGCTATATTTATCGCGCAAATGTTTAAGGGACAGGGAGTTTGATCCCAATGTTTAAAATTAATTGTTTATATATCGCGTAATATATTGCTATCATATTTTAAACACTTGTCAATAAAATAACAAAATATAAATGGACAGTATGTTAGGTACAGGTATGCATTATAGTTAAGAATGAAAATGGATATGATTAGTGATTAGCCAACCACATCCACCATCACATCCCTGTGCTCCCTATCAGTGAGATAACCGGGTGTACAGTTAGGTTACAGTGTTTTATACGGCGTCTGGACTTTAATCGCACACTTAATACACAAATATAAGTCTAAATTACATGTGATATTCACACCGGTATCACAAGCTTACGAAGTCTGGAGTTGAGTTGGTTATGTAAATGTGCGCCTGTAGTTTTTATAGATAATGTGAATTCAATGAGAGGGGAAAGGGTTGAGAAATTAAGTTTTTGATTGATAGCACCATATGTACGGCTTTTATTATTATTATATACTGTTTATAACAAACCGTTTCATAAGCACTTTGTGTTGAATTTGATTTTTTTTGTGTGTTTTAAATGTTTTTCATGTGACTATCGGATTGCATAATAGTTTTATTACAAATTTTTTTTGTTTTAGGCAACGAGTTAATAGGCTTTGACGTGATTAATAACCTAGCTAAGTTTTTGAACAATTTAATACAAGCCATTGTAGTGTAGTTAGACACTGTTATAATAAGTACTTTAGTAAGTTATAATGATATTTACTATAATTATTGTAAATTGTTTTACAAAATATAAAACCAGACATATTATAAAATCTAATTTAACAGTATATGTAAACCATTGTCTAGTAATTGATTATTAATTATATCAATTATTTGTTGTTTAAAAACAACATAACTTTTAATATAACTATCGCTATTAATATAACGGAAATAATTTTTAAGCTTAACTTCTATGGGAATATTTTTTATGACAAATTAAATGAAACAAAAATCTAAACGATATTTAATTACAAAATTGAAAAAACCTAAATACAAAGGCATCCGAGACATTGAGAAACTAGTATTAAATGTATTGAACAATTTGTGTTCAACTTAAAACTCATTTGGTTTTGTTGTTTATTTTACTTTTTCATATAATTTGAATGACATTGAAATAGCATTGAAATAAACTTATGATAACTTCTAATATAAATACAATATAATGTAACAGGCAAACTCTATACATAAAAATTAAATATATTTTATTTTATTTTTTAAACTTTATGATTCAATACAAAGTTATAGTAATTTTAATAAATGTTTTAATTAAACACTAAAAATCGTTTTGTATTTAGTATTTAAACCAAAAGTAATTAATTACTAAATAAACTCATATTTTATACACAAATGCTTTTTTAGTGTACGTCATGTGCGCTAATTATTTCGTGTACTACACTATACCCACAATATACCCCTTTAAACACCTCCCGTTCCCATTAGCACCCACCTAACCCTATCAGCCTATTAACAGCCCTATTAAAAGTCATACAAACTTAGTGGTCATACCTTTGCGGCCGCGATGTCTATAGCCGTCTGATTGTAAAACCAGTTAACACTTCGGGAAACACTGCAACTACCGTTCCCATTGCCATTCCTGGGCACCCCATTCAGCGCACCCCCTGTCGCGGGGCCCACCAGTCCGTTGGTAGGGGACGGGTGGTTGCCGTTGCCGTTGCCATTGGTATGCGTGTTGTACTTATTGTGTCCATTCGTGCCATTAGTGTAGGTCTTGGGCTCGATCTCATGGCTGGACGTCATGATGAGTCGGCCCCCCATATGGTGTCCACCGCTGACAGCGGCTCCGGTAGTGTTCAACACATAGCGTACTAAACGTTTCGATGCACTCATTGTTGCCTTTAATTCACTTAACATCATATGTCTTATACCGAGTGTTCACTCAATGAAACAGAGTTTGTGTCCAAAAATATACTCTATTTTCAAAAGTATATCTCAAAAATTATTAGCCAAATAGCTTATACACACCGTGTATATACTACTTATTGCGAATTTAACTGAACTTGGTACAGTGCTTATGCCAGCAACACATCTTGGTATGCATTGTATGCAACTTATGATAGCAATGATCGGCACAAGTGGTATAACTGGACATCAATTCACTAGCAATAGGATGGCTATTATTATTACGCGAGTTATTATCACTGCTTATTATTAGTGGACTAATCATTATGGACACCAAAATTAAATACCAATAAAAAATATAAATATATTAAAAAACTGAATCAAAAAAATTAGTTAACTATCAAAAGGCGTACAAAATATTGATCGACACGAATGAACAAAAAAATCTCTTATTTTTACTTTTTTGATGTCAATAGCAGTTAGGGTTTGGACTAAATTTGATTTTTCTAATGGCATATACAGTAAGGCTATTATATACTGGCGATGGCTTATACACGGTTTATGCGCTTCCACCTCGAAAAAACATAGCATACCAGTGCCCTCAGGCATATGTAATATAACTCTATTGCTCAACCGCGTTACATGGTTACCCAATGCCAGCCTTAGCTACCAGTGCTAACAGGCTTTACCAGCAGCTGGTGCTCGTATGTACTATACGTCCAATATAGTTAGTTAGGGGAATTATGTAGCTAGCGCGTTTATGTTAGGGATCATTTTAATCAAGTTTATTTGTCGGGGTCCATTCATTTGAACGCGTTATTTTTGGTGCTAGCTAATATTTTGCTTTGTATGTATTTAAAGTGATAATTTTGTACAATATGTTCAATTTTATTGCGAAATAAGTATACTAGGTTCATTACATTAACACTATTGTAGTCTATCTTATTGTATTATAAATAAGCTTTTAAATTACATTAGTTGCTAATATTTCCAAATATATTTGCATATATTTTTGTACACAATATGCTCGTACACTATACAGAAATGACACTGTACGTATACTTTTATTATAACAATACGATACATATAAAAGTTCGTGGGTCATTCAACTTCAGAATTATATTCATACAAAATTCTGTATTAGTATTTGTCTTACAGTTCAAAATAGGCAGACTTTACACCTGTAGTCTGCACCGGTATATCATAGCATTCATATGGCTATAAGTTGTGTACTATATTATAGTTGGGTTTTTTGGCTAAATGTGTGGAAAATTACCAGAATTTTTATAGCCTGTTGGTGACCAAAGTCTTAATGGAAAGGGAGTTATGTTTTCCACTATATCAACCACTTTCCCATTTAGTATTTAATCATAAAAGTGTACATTTAATGAAAAAGGGTGGGAGTGATAGGACACGTACTGTTTATTTCTGACTAAATTTAATTTTATTAATAATATTATTAATAACTGAATGTTTTAATTCTAGTAAATAGGAAACAAAATGTGCATTTAAAAACTACATGTATATTTGTTAATAGGAATAAAAATTAATTTAAAATAGCAATAATATTTACTAGAATGTGCAACATTTTTTATATCAATTCAAATTAAATTAAAATATTCAAATTTATATTGAATTGTATAAAGGGCTGCCTTTCCTACGAAGTACTCATTGACTGTTTGCGAAATTTTATGCAAACAATAAATCATTTAAAAGTAAAAACAAAAAGTCTATTGAATATAATTATAAAAATAAATACTATACTCAAAAAGCTAAGGATCGCTGTAATGGTAGGCACCTGTATAATATATTATATGCCATAAGCACGTGTACTACGAGTGCTAGTCATATGAAATCGGCACAAGTAGTAAATTATGTGTACGTTTACCACAATAACTAAACTATTCAATTAGATAGTACACCCATTAATGTTAAGTGTAGTCAACTAAAGACCTTGGCTATAAGCAACTTATTAATACAAATATTCTGCTTTTTCAGTCACTATTTTATTTAAACGACGTATGATTACTACTATTTATTAACCAAGTATATTTAGTGATTGTTTTTGTTTTTTAAAACTTATTAATTGTGAATTTATCGCTACTTTTATATCAAATTGAATTGTGACACACACTCAGGCATGTGGTGGTAGTGGTACTAATCGGCTCCATGTGCTGATCACACATACCTCCCATCTCTCAATCATTCATTAATATATTTATATAATATTAATATATTTTAAAATAATGATTTGTTAACTATTTATGAATAAAATAAACTTGTTTCGCGATAAATAGCTAATTAAAAAACACACGAAAACTTGTTTAAACAACAATTTAATAAAAACTTTATTTACAACAGAATATTCTGCGAGACAATCCGAGTCCACAAATTCATCGACTTTTGTTTTAAGTCTAAAGATTATTAAAATTTAAAGGTTATTTAAATAAAAACAAATTACTCGTATAATCAATATCAAACAAAACATTAATTAACACGTGTTCAAAGTATTCCCCTTAAAGCTATATTAATATTAAAATCTAAAATTAGTAATTTAAAATATATCGTTCATTAAAGTGTTTATAAACAATAGCATCCAGGTATTAATCAATTAATCAATGAATGGTATATAATAATATGATCGTGTTCAGTGGAAATCGCAATAATCATGGGGTGTTTGGTTATATTCAAAAGTAACTCAAATAAGACTTTAAAACACTTGAGTTTTGGTCACATTTTCACCGATTCCTCAATGCGTGCACTCATTCTCGATAGAGAATCCAATTTCAATGTCTCAATGTGTGGTCAATGTGTGTGAATGGAGTGAAAGAATGTCTCATTGAATACACCATTCGGCAAATCTAGTGACAAATGTGTTCATCGTTTCAATGGAGACAAGGATTTCGGTGTCAATTCAATGGTGGCGTTGGCTTCCCTTACATACAATGTTAAGTCCAGACGCCGTAATCGTTTCATCCGATTCGTCGACTCATACACTCGTCTCACTTGTAGACCAGTTTCGGTCGATATCTCTCAAGATGTGGCCATTGGTTGACAAACTCTTGGCAGTGATAGTCAACGATAGCTTCAGTAGTGTTTGTCAACATTTGAATCCTTAGTTCCCGTAACGCCTTCACTTGTGTCAAGAGTTTCGGTACACGAATAAAGTTGTGTTCAACACACGCCCGGCCAACGAGAAAACAACAAAATACTAAACACTTTAAGCTATTCCTATAGTAATCAACAAATGCTTGCAATCGCTGCCAATCCGATAATTGTTTAAGTTTTGTATAAGACTTTCAATGCTTTCTAAGCACTTCATAACCCCATGGAGGCAGTCATATAGCAGTCAATTGTGAGCCATATTTACACACAATTGTGTCCATTATTTTCACATCAATTTCTGCATCAAATGTCACATCAATTGCATTCAAGTGTTTGTATGCATTCATGAGTATTTCAAACACTCTTTCAGTCACTTCTGAATGAATCCACATATCAATGGATGCAATGTTTGCACACTTCTTGACCACCGATTCAAATGCTGTCCAATCATTGTCGGCAATCGTCTTATCATCACTTAATCCAAACTTCTCCAGCACTAATACCCCAACTGAGAGATCATGTCTTCGCTTGAATACACATCTCTGCCACTGTTTGGACAGACATTCATATCTGAAACTGTCTCTCAGCGACAGATAAGACAATAGGAGTTCGCATAAGTCATCACCAAATCTGTCCAATGAGTCCTGAGGATATTCCTCTTGAGTGCCATGAGTGCCAATCGTCGACATCTTTGTCTGAAATACAGATAATCAATGACTGAATGTGTGTTGAGTTGTGTACTCATTGGACACAATCACCAAAACTAACCTCATTTGCAGACATATGACCACAACTTCCTGAGTCCATATCCATATGTCCAGTGATGGCAGTTGTGGTGATATATGCGTTACAATCAGTGATTAATGCAATGAATGACTAGTTTTGTTCACAAATCACTAATTGTCTCAACAATTAACACATTGTCTGTCATTCACTGAAACACACAAAACATGTGATAATAAGTGCATAAATGATGTGACAATATGTGTGAGTATTATATGAGTGTTTGTATGACTAATGCATGCATTCATCACTAAAGGGGACAACATTTACAGCAAAATATTTAAACACACAAAACATGTGATAATAAGTGCATAAATGATGTGACAATATGTGTGAGTATTATATGAGTGTTTGTATGACTAATGCATGCATTCATCACTAAAGGGGACAACATTTACAGCAAAATATTTTGCGTCATTTATAACTAAACTTTGCGCTAATATTTCAAATAATTGCGGCGAAAATGAAATCTAAAAACTTTGAATCAATTTGCAAATTGATATAAAACACTATCATTAGTAATATAATATAATATAAACTTGTATACAATTTTTAATACACTTATGAAAAATAAAGTTGAAGTATTATATTTGATGCGGTAGTTTGTTATGTAATACTGTAATTTTTAAAGTTTTTTATTAATACATGTACATCAATGAAATATTTACAGATTAGACATTTATGAATATAGAAATATAGATTTTTAATTACTACACCCAAACATTTTTGACATATAATTTTCAAATACATGTTACAGTAAACTGGGTAATTAATTTGTAAAAGCGTTTATATATGTTTTATGCTTAATTAAAAATACCTTTTAATTTTATTAAAACATATACCGGTAGTATGTTAAAATATTACACATTATGTATATTTTAAGTAGAGTTTATATTAATAATTATCAAGGATCTAAAAATCAAATGAATTAAGTAGTTAAGTAGAATACAAAATTTAACACTTTAATATTAAGGGAGGTCATATGAAAAACATTAATTTTATAACAAAACCAGAGCACTGACCAGAATAACCGGGTGAATTAAACAATGTATAGGATTATGTGCAAAAATATGGCAACAAATTAAACGCC